ATATGTTACATAATCAAATTCGTACCATTCTTAACTTGAGATCATTTCTAGACGAAAAAATTTAAACAAACAAATTTTCTGACATTATAGAAACCACATTTGGAAATCAGAATTTCGCCCCTTCCCAAAATCATATCGTTGGCAAGGTTGTAAGTGAATGTCGGCAACTTAACCCTCTACCGCCGTATGTCACTCTTCGTTAACATAACTTTCAACTTGCATTATGCGTAAACTATTGAGTGAAGCTGCCTGAGGACATTTGTAAGCAACAGAGAACATTTTAAAATTGTCGTACGTGGAGACAACCATCAGTGCAAGTCATTTTGCGCTCACTAGAACGTACCCTTTTTTGGTAGGATTGTGGGACAATAGTGCTCCGATTACTTATGTCAGGCGGTAGAGGGTTTAAGCACTTCCTATGGCAGGGTAGGGCGACGAAAGTGAGATATAAGGACAGTGCGTATATTTGCCAGTTGTCGGGCGAACAGTCACAATTCAAGCCGCGTCGATATATAGCACACACACCAATCAAGTTGCGGGCAAAGTTGGGTACCCGGATTCTGTATGCTTTGCTCCGCTATGTTTGGCGAGTGTGAACAACTCCGCTGGATTCCTACCTCGCAAAGACTCAATATTTGCTTCAGCCGCGCAGCCGCAATTCGGCGTGACTGCCGCAAACCAGAGGAACTCGAAATATTTCCTGGTCTTTCCATCAAATTGCCACAAATATTTCGACAGCTTCACTAGTGGTAGCGAAAATTTTAATTTCATATTAAACAGTTGAACGTTTTGATTTGATGATTTAAGAAGCGTTTTAGAAGTGGTAATTATCGAGTTCTTCGATTGGATGAATCTCCTTGTTTATTTCATATGGTAGTGCCAAAATATTTATGATGTTGCTTCGGTAGCAGTACTAGTGAACATATGTCAGCAACAATGTTTTTTCATAGGAAATTCCTCCCTTCATTTACTGAAATAGAAATTAAACTTGTGGGATAGAAGTGGGGGAAAAATATGTGTTTGTTCGACTTCAAAGAAGGTCACCGATATTTAAAACAATAAATTTCTTACAGAAAATGTTCGCTAGTTGACAAGTGATTTGGAAATTGATGAGAACTAGCTGACGCGCTTGCAGGAAATGAATACTGCTATGCATGAAAATTTTTACGGGTAAGAAAATTTCTTTTATATCATATTATGAAATTAAAAACCATAAACAGCCAGCAGGCATGTTTTGCTTCGAATAACATTTATTGAAGTCTAATTCGAAGTCTTCAACTACGCACGTTGGACGGAAGTAGGGCGAGGCATACAAGAATATACATGCATATTTCAAAATGAAGAAATCAAAATTGATATTTGATATTGCCTTTGAGCAGATATAGTCCACGATTTGTGTCAGTAATTTTCAGGATATATGCAAACAAAATATGCCATCAAAATATTCATTGGAAAATAGGTGCAACCGCGTTCCTTTAGGATTATGGGAGAAAGAGAGAAAGTTATTAAGTTTAGTTAATTGGCCGTAGTGTAGAAATTTTGTGAATAAGGTACTTTGACCTCCCACGTTATTTGATGATTGTTATTTTATTAAAGATTAAAGTTGTAAGGTTTATTAAATAATCGGTTACAGACCAAATTTACCTATACTGATCAAACTGACGCAGAACAATAGATAATAGGAGCTGCATTCAATTGAGTAATTGACTTTACTCGTTACACGATAGAACGAATATTCAATTAATAATGAAAGATTGGAAGACTTCTGTCTAAAACTATTCATTCGTTACTTAAAAGTTGTGCTACAGTTTGTACACAAGTGAGTGCCACAACTAATTTTCACATGTTTCCCTGGTGAATTTCAAAGCCTTATATTGTTCCATCCAACCATTTATTTTACAATGTTCAGTAAGATGATTTGGATTTCCCTGTACTTCTATTTTTCAAATGAATCCAGCTGTAAAAATATCGATTAAATTATTCTGACAAATCATGATGTATTTTTATTATATTCATCACCTTTAATGCGCAATTTAGCAAATAATCGCGTCCTAGCATTTTGTTACAGAACCTTTCGGAAGTTTAGCGCCTTCTGAGCTGATGAGAAATGTATTACATATGCAATTACTTCCGTCGAGCCATTTTTCGCGGCATAGTTTTCGTGTTTATCATATTATTTTTCTTGTCCTTTAAATTTCTTGAACTTGACTCAAAAAATTATATTAGGTAGAGATATGTGGAGTTGATTGAACTAGATTGCTGAAAGCCTACTGAAAAAATGGCTAACTTTAATGAAGGTATTTTTGTATGTTAAATTGAAATTAATAATGAGAAATTAGTAAGACATATTACTCCTAACCTGAGCAGTAACTAAACTAAATTGTTATCTACTATGTTAAAAAATACTCGTAGAATATGATTCGCTGGAGATTGTGGAGAAACTAAATAATATGCATGTATGCAGTAAACTCTTTGAATTAGAAACGAATTTCTGTAGACAACCATTGACTATTTTTAATGATCGTGCATTTTTTTATCTTTTGAACCTCATTGGTAGTTCTCGATGGTATAAGAAGTGAGATCAACTGCTAACAATTAATAACGTTACATATGTGTTAATGAATATGCCTTGATATATTGCATAATATACGACCGCAAAATTTGACTAAAGACTATGCATAATGAAATGTGGGAATAATATTTTGAACAACTTATAATTACGGTATATAACGTTATAAAATTAGGAGCGACTATTCCAGCAATGTTTTAGAGTCAGGAAGTTACCAAAGCCATCTTCCATGCATTATTTTACTAAAAATGTATTTGAGAGTAACGAACTACATTACAACATTATCTGCTACGGTATTAGGTTATTCCAGGTTATCAGGAAATTGGTGTAGTTCATCTCTTTGACACTATTCAAAATATTTGGCGAAATTTTGCCTGCAATCTGAAGCTTGGAAATCTCCCGTGCACAATACAAGACAGGCAACGTATGAGCACCAGAAGTGACGGGGACTTGCTTCCATTTCTTGCAGCCGCGAGTACATCAAAACCGGCAGCAACTGGGCGAGGCTGCTCCACTTCATGGTGAAGTGTTTTTGTAGAGGACCATAAGCTTGAAACGGCTCGAGGAGAGGACCTCTCGCTCGCATCTGAAGCCATGAAAGACGCCAATAAACTAGCGAGTCTGATACTTCTGCAACTCGAGACTCCATCATTTTGTGTCTGGTGCAACTCTTGATGATCTGTTGATCTACCGCCTCAAGAATATTGATCCTGCTAGATCGTTTCTTCGCTCCGTCACCGACGCAACAAGAACTGCAAACAATGTGACTGCCGACCGAGTAAGAGCTTCTCAATTACAACCTGAGGATTGTTCTCCCGGCAAGAGAAATAGCTGCAATAAAATTGGAGGCAGACGCGCGAGTGGCATAAAGTTGGCAGGCTATTTGCAGTGGACATGTGGCCAGTGAAAACATCCCAAAAGATTAGGGCGATGAGCTGCGAGTCTTGTGGAAAATGTTAGGCGGCTGCTCAACCAAGTGCTCCGGCTGCCGCTGCCGCAGCGCCGAGGACACCTGTGCAGGTTCCCACGGCGAGCTCTCGCTGCTCCCCTCCTCGCGATGCCTTCCAGCCAACACAGGACACCGTTTCTTTGGGCTTCGGACAAGCTTCAGTTGCAGAATTTGCTAGAAATATCATGATTATAGCTTGAAAATATGTTTATTAACGCCATGAGTAACCCAAACAAACATCTCAACCTAAATTTAGGTCCACAAGACCACAAACTCGGCGTGGGCAGTGGGATTTTCGTCGTGAAGCTGCGTTCACTGTGGTTTTCAGACCTGATAACTGCCTGGAAGCTGAGGAAAGAATGACAAAATGGCAAGTATATAAGGGAGTGAGGACTCCATGAAGCTTACTCTTTGCTCGGCGAGCAACCGAGCTGGAACAATTCGAGCAGCTCATCTTCCGTCAAGTGAGGAAATATTACTGAAGGCGGCGTGATCTGGGTAAACATTTTACTAAAACTATTCATTATGAGCTTTGGAAAAAAATGGTGTTGGTCGTGAACTATTAAGGGTCTGGTGAACTATACCTAAATGAAATCAACACGAGTTCAACAGAAGATTATCAGTGTGGGATTGGACAATTGGATTAGCCGCGTGCTAGCGGCAATAATCTTCGGGTGTCGCTTCGGTGCGTCGTGTTTCGCCGCTTATCCCCCGAGTGCCGGAGACCTCGCTCGCGGAGCTAGAGGTGAGGAGCGGATCTGTACAAGGTTTTGGCCTCTAATGTCGAGATGTGTGACCCAAATTGAACGCTTGAAATAAAATAACAATATCAGGGGAATTAAGCTTTCAACACAAAATTTTTGAATATTCAAGGAAACTCAATATTCGGTCTTGAAACTAAAGAACTGAGCCACTTTTTCTAAAACTTTGAAGTAGATAAGTTTGATAGACATACAGTCAAGAGCATTGTTGGACAAAAAGATGTTTCGACTTCATAGTTTCGCATACAACTCTGGATGCGAAAATAAATTGAAGTGACGAGGTGGACTCTTCACTAACGCACGAGTTGAAAACTTGTTGATTAACATTCGAGAGTGATTAAATAAAACCAGTTTTTTATCGTCTACAAAATTAATCTGTTCTTACAGGATTACCTTCATATCCACGCTAGGTTATCTCAAAAAGTTATAGATACTGCAGAAAATTTTACGATCTACAGTACTAAAGAGGAAGTTAAATATTGTATTTTTTCGAAAAAGTAGGAAGAATTACAAAATTACTACTTTGCGTTACTTAATATTACACCTTTTATTATTATTGCTTCATGAAGAATGATGGTAGTTATTATCTGAATTGATAATTACTCAAAGAGTTTCTGCTGAACGCGGTCTTCAAAATGACTACAGAAGACCCGGTCATCAGCCATCGACCACACCAGTTAGCAGCCAACAGCTGCTTGAAGAACGAAATGGGATCCGAATCTCGGCCGCAAAGATATCCTGATAGCAGCAACGAACATAATCAGGGCAGACAAGCTGATTTAGTTAATGTGGACGATGACGGTCACGAAGATGATGACGATGATAACGATAGCTGTGGCAGAATTTCACCAGGAGGCCCTGCAGATGAGTACCTCCCGCATTCTGCCTTCACCGATCAAACAGTTGATGGACAGATGGCCGTGAGCTATTCTCAGTCTCCTGACACCACCAAATCCGTCGAAGTTGTAAGAGACTCCCTTCCTTCTTCAAGGATGAACGTCAAAGCAGAGTCGGAAAAGTCATTTTTGAGCGCATGCCACAGTCCTACGCCTAGCCCCTCATCCTCCCCAACGGCCAGCCCTTGTTCAGCTCGCAGCTCCTCTCCGTACCCAGGGTCGCCGCCCCTATCGCCTCCCCCTTCGTCCTACTGCACGCCATTCTCTGAAGGCACTCGGAGTCTCTCGTTCAGCTGCCCCAGCAGCCTCTACCCCGGCAGCATCCTAACGTCAGGTGCTGCAGGCATTATCTCTTCGAGTACCTCGGCCTTCCTCCCACATCCAAGACGAGCTATGGCTGCTGCTGCGGCAGCGGCTGCAGCTGCGGCGGCAGCTCTCAGTCCAGCTGCTTCACATCTTTTTTCAGCTGCAAGCACTCATTGCAGTAACATTTCAGTCAGCAGCGTCACCTCAAGCTTCAGTTCTACCACTCCTGGTGGTCATTATGTTGCTGCTCGACTCACGCCTGCTCGCATCGCCTCTGGTCGATCAGGTAAATGTATTTTTGTTACCCCACTAAAGACCCCCCACCAAAGGCGCATTATATTTGCAAGCCTGAGTTTTGGCATTCATTTTGTCACTAAAGGAAATTTTTAGTTATTCGCTTAATTAATTTTTTAGTTATGCAACTATCTGCATGAAGAATTTATTTCCACTATATTAAGTGATTAAGTACTCGTACATTATTAAGCAGTTAGTTTGACGAATAAGACATGTTTTCTTCTTGTGGGAGATGAAATATTTTTAGCACAATTTTTATTCATGATTGTTCAAATGTATTTCACCTTTCATGAACGAGAACCCATTTCTCAAAACATTTTTAGCATAACTTAAAAAATTATGAAGAATGTAAATATGAAACGTCTGACATCGAATGCATCACATTCAATCTCTGATTCAATATAGACATACAATGATTGTTAGACTAATCAGCTTCGCGGTCAAAAAATCTTCAAATGAATTAAATGATTGATATCGATAGTATTTTTCAACTATATTGTCGAGATGCCTACAATGGTTCGTAGTGTGAATGCTCGAATAAGTTGGGTTTCGGCTTCTTTTTCCACAAAATCGTCCTGGCCTCTAATACGGAACTTTATTTTACTTAAAGTATTTATTTCTACATTGTTGTAAAAACTCCAGATGGAAATGTGAAGATTAAACTTGACGGTCACTTTGCATCCAGGAAAAATATAATGTTTTTATTACATATTTGTTTTATTACCTCATTATCGAAGAGATGAACAGGGTTCCGTAATTTCTTACGTTTCTGATACATTTTCCATTACTTGTTTTCAAAATTATGGGATAAAAAGGGGAAAAATATTGCTTTATTTATATTTTTTTGAAACACATGTTCATAATTATATGGTTACTAATCATTTCAACAAATGTATAGTCAGAAACCAATTTACAATAATTGAGATACGAGGCACCGGTAATAGGTATTTACCCTACTATTTAAATTATGTGTAGTTTTAGATGTAGATGAACTTCTGAAATGTTCTCTTAAATTGTTAGAATAATTAATCAGATACTTGAGGCAAGATAGAAAAAAACCATAGTTTACATACGAATGATCTCACATTATAGATCTTCTCAAGATCTTAAGACCCCAGGTAATGCTTGTTTAGAGTTTATTTTTGAGTACCAACCCACGGCAATGCTGGAAGTATCGATCACCTTCGATAACTATCAAGCGCTGCCCATATAATATAATTACAGATAATAAAAAACTGGATGAATAACAACAGCATTACTAACAATTAAGTAATATTTGCATTAAGTAAAATTAAAACTGGCGTGATTTGTGTTAATTAAAGATATCAAATTTGACTACAATGCTGTTCTCGAGTGTGCTTAAGAAATACTTCAATTTTGTTGCCTTTTTTCCTCTAAATGAACATGTTCTGATATAAACGTAATATAAAATATAAATTACTACATTTTTCACATTTCCTTTCGCATGTGGACCCGTACACCAAATTCTCAAATATTATACTGAACATATTTAGCCCCGCATTAGGCAACTGCAAATAAAAAAATTTTCCAATGCCAAAATTCTCACCTTGAAATCTATATTACTTTTTTAATATCTCGATTATGAGAGAATCCTTTTACGGAAGTAACATGAATGATTTAACAAATTTTGTTTGTTCCGCCAGCCATATCCAGCAATTTAATTTGCATATATTGAATATTAACCCACAACATTAACGAAAAATACTTTCATATCATTTAAGGAGAGCAAATATAAACATATTAATATGAAATAAATACATAAAAATGAGAACAATTTTATTTTTTGTGATCAGGTGACAGGCTGCTGGACATCCCGTGCAAGGTGTGCGGTGACCGATCGTCCGGCAAGCATTACGGCATCTACTCATGTGACGGTGAGGTCATGAGAATGCTGACTCATGTGACGGTGAGGTCATGAGAATGCTGACTCAAAAAATTGAGAAATATATTTTTGTGTTATACAAACCATAGTAATTAACTTTTAAAATTGAACGATGAATTAGAAAACATATGACAAACGATTAGCGGTGGATTGAAAAAATTTCTTCTATCTACCAATTGCTTCGAAGTTGCCTTTTTAGTTCAAAATTCAAAATACGTTAAATAAAATTATAATAAATGTGTAAGCCAACTTATAATTTTGTTAGATACCGTAACTCCGGGAAGATAAAAGGCAAAAAGCGTCGTCAAACATTAAGCTGATTAGTAGAAAGATATAAGTGAATTTTTTTATCGTAACGCTCATGTCGTTGATTAGCCATGCGTCAGAACCTTTTACGTATCTGACAAAGGTAAACTAAAAGTATCTGTAAAGTTACTCATATTCAGTACAGAATAAATACATCTATGTATAACTACTACCTGCAAAAACTACTTCTTCAGTACAGAATAAAAGTCTATAACTGGTGTCCATAACTGTATTGTTACATGAAGTTTTTAGATGTTGTAAATTGTAAAGCAAACGAGCCTCGTGCAATTTAATTTACGCACTCGCATCTACGCCGGATAGAAAATGAAGCCACAATGAAAATCTCACAATTGATTTCGTAGTAATACATTTTTAGGATACCTAAACAATGGCTGAATGGCCTTTAGTAAATTTCGGGATTCAATTTTTTACGCTAAAATGGCCAGAAAGTGATGAGTGAGTACAAGTTTCAAAGCTTATTGATGAATTGCATGACTGACTAAAGTTTTACATTTTTTACTTTCCCCTTTTGAAGCCGATTTTGGATTGCAGTTCTTGAGGAATCGAGTGTTCCATTGCAGGTTGTTGGGTTTCATCAAGCGCAGTGTTCACCGCAATCGCGCGTTTCATTGCAGGTTGTTCTGGCTTCTTCAAGCCTAGCATTTACCGCAGTCGCGTACGTGTTGCATTGCAGGTTGTTCGGCTTTCATCAAGCGCAGTGTTCACCGCAATCGCGCGTTTCATTGCAGTTTGTTGGGTTTCATCAAGCGTAGTAACCACCAAAATCGCGTGTTCCATTGCAGGTTGTTGGGTTTCTCCAAGCGCAGTACTCACCAAAACCGCGTGTTTCATTGCAGGTTGTTCTGGTTTCTCCAAGCGCAGTACTCACCAAAACCGCGTGTTTCATTGCAGGTTGTTGGGTTTCTCCAAGCGCAGTACTCACCAAAACCGCGTGTTCCATTGCAGGTTGTTCTGGTTTCTTCAAGCGCAGCATTCACCGCAATCGCGTGTACACATGCAAAGCTTCAGGCGACCTCAAGGGAAAATGTCCCATCGACAAGACGCATCGCAACCAATGCAGGGCCTGTCGCCTCAACAAGTGCTTCTCCGCAGCCATGAACAAAGACGGTAGGTGCAAGATTTTTTGTATGGATGATTACTTTGATTATTTATAATTTTTTAGGTTTTGTTAAGTTGGTAATTATTTTCCTGAAGTATTTCCTCTTGATTTATTTGAAAGCTACATTTATGTAATGATTGCTTCAGTGACTGTTTGGATTACGAGCTAGGAAGTTAACGAAAATATATGTGCTTGAACGAATTTTTTTTCTTTCAAAACAGAAATTTTATAATTACGAAGAAGATCACTTATTACTACCTCAAGATCTTATAAATATTTGTCATAGTTTCTTTGTTTGTGTGAGTTGGAAGCCAGGACCACAAATATATAGACGCTTTTCTCGCGCGTATCCACGATACTTATCGTGCCAGGATATTACTAGATCTGAAATTTCATTCATTGGGAGAGAATAGGAACAGTTTGAAGAAATAGAGGCTAGTACTGGATCAAAGTTTAGATTAGGTGTTGCAATTATCGTATATGAATTTAATTTAAGAGGCGCTGAATAGTTTTCCCCGTATTTTGAAACCATAGAGTAAAATAAATGCGATTTCTATCTTCCATGTAAAAAGCCGATTTAAAAGGGTCTTCATTAAATTAGAATTCACATGGCTTTATTATTATTCACATGATAAAGGATCGTTTACGGAAATGACTGAATTTTCGATAGCACGCTTCCAAAATTGCAGGAATTATCCAGCCCAGGCTAATACGGTCGACTAACCTGCTGTAAAGTTGCATGTAAATAACTTCGAATTTTTACGAATGTACGAAATTTACAGTCAGGGAATCGCAATGAAAATTATCTACTATTATAGTGCAATTTGCATCTCATTTACAGGTGTAAATCTAATTCTAATACCAGTAAACAAATATGTTTTTTCACGTTACATATTGGAGTACAAGAAATATTCAAACACTCCCCTATAATAAGTTTGATCGAGCCGCTGATGATCGGTAAATACGGTTGGGTTGAATTTCAATAATCATCTTGCGGTTGTAACGAGCGATAAGCAGCCAATTCGGTGTTGAGTGTCATTGAGCCACTAATGGGTGTCAGCAAAGCAATTGATGGGCTGATCAAGTAAGCCTGAAACCCATTACGACCCTCGCTCGTCGAGGGTTCGACCCACGGCTACAGAGAGAGAGGGTCGAGATGACACGCTTCCTGCCGCTAGCACGTGTTCCAGGTTACACGACCTGTGATGGTTGCGACGGGGGTGGGTGATGGTGGCAATCTATATAGAAAAAATTTAGATGGAGAACACGGAAGAGATGAGAAAAATACTTAGAAGGAGAACACAGGAAGAGATGAGAAAAATACTTAGAAGGAGAACGCAGGAAGAGATGAGAAAAATACTTAGAAGAAGAGCACGGTAAGAGATAAGACGAGATATAAAATTTGAGCGTGAACTGATACTGTTACAGTTACGTAGATGAAAATAGAGGCCGGGGAGGGGGAGGAGGCAATGGAGAAAAAAACGTCGGTTGCTTTGAAAATGCTTTCCCTGCATGAAGGCGTTCTCATATGAGTGACGTTGGGGTAAGAAGAAGGAATTGCATTCAAAGAATCGCTGATCGTAAACTGGTAATTTGTCACATAATCACAAAAGTGACTCAAGATAAAATGAATGCGCTTCGAATATAAGCATTTTTTCGCGCAACATTTGTCAACATAAAACCAATTCAATCACGAGCCAACCGCTCATACATGATGCAGCGCTAGCAATTAAGGATCCGTTCAAATATTCGGATGATAATATATAATTTTTGCAACCAACTTTGAACATCAGTGATTTATCTAATAAAAACTGGTATTTTAATTTAAAAATCAAAATCGTGGTTTCCCTGAAAATAAATATACAGTACACCTAACTTGCAAACTTGCTCGATATGATCTATTTATTTTTAAACATTAAGCATCGTAGGATGACGATGGATTTGTCAACGGTTGCGCGAACATAGAATTGGTTTAATAGGTGCGAAAATTCATAATTTCCCAGCATATTATATGGTCATTATAAACTGTACTCATTGAATCCTTTACGTTTATTTCTTGAATTTCATACGACGAAGATCACTGATTGTAACCCCACCATGCCAGTGAGGGAGTAGGATATGGTGTTATATACTCCTCAAATGCTTGTTATAGGAATTATCTGAGCGGAATTTCAGTGCAGTAAATTGTACACTTGTTCAAAGCATCATTATAAATAAAAGAAAATATAAGTTTCTTCAATCACTTTCAATGACTTAATACTTATTTAACCTCATTCATTAAAAAAATCAGTAGAATTTATTTGGAAAATATGATTTAAAATGTCGTGTAGTTCCCTTTAATATTTTCATTAAAGAGAAAATCATTATTCGCTTTGTCTTATGTAAAAAAAACACCCTGAACGAAAGAACGCTGGATTGTTTATCACATGAAAAATGCTCGCCTAAAACTTTAAAACTTTTACTTCCATTTGACGTGGTATTTTTCATAAGTAAATAAAATGAGTTGAGCATTTTTGAACTTAAACTGAAGCGTTTTTGAACTCACTGCAGCTACTGTTAGCCAGTTTCATTTAAAAACTTGTTCGCTCACAGCAATATGAGCAATATTTTACAAACTTTAAATGAACTCTTCGCTTTTTGCCTAGAATTATAATAGATCTGTAACTCAGCGAAGCGCGAAAAGTAAAAAAACGCACGCTCCAGAAATGCAACGGTGTCGGAATCCAAAGCGGCAAAATGGCAGTGTAAAGCGAATAAAAAATGACACGCTGTGGTCAAAAAGTGGCAGGGGCCGACAGTAATGGAGAGCCGCGTATTAGAGTCAGAGAAAAGCAAAGAGCCACGGTGACATCAGGCCAGCCTTCCCATTGGCTCTTGCACGTTCCGCCCTGAGCCACTGCGCAATCCTCATTGGTGGCATCTTGGTTTTGAATGACTTGATGCTGCCGCCTCATTGGCTGGCAGGCCTGGCACTCGCTGGTATTGGCTGCGGCTTTCAAAAACCGTTAGACATTAGCTCGCTTTATATAGGAGGTCATATGATGCGTGCAGGTTGAAAGATTTTTTCAGCATTCGCTTTAAAATTTAAGGCTTCAGGAATATTATCGAAGCAGAATCATTCGTTCAAAAAGCCACGCAATAGCGACTCGAATTCTCGTGGCTGTTCGTTGCGTAGGAGACTGAATGGTATAGTCGAGATAAACTAGAAGACTTTGTGTGTCACCGAAGAAGTTTTTTCCGCCAATTCGATAACACCAAAGCGTTTAGCCATCCAAGATTTCTTCGTCGCTTGCGTAAATGACGTTTTGATTGAAAATCCTCAATTTTAAATGAAGTTATTTTACCGTAACCAAACCAAGCATCAAGCCCTAAATGCGGTATATCTAATATATTGTGGTCAAATATCGTTTTCTGAGGTCAGATATCTTGCGCCAATTGAATTTATTGAATGCTAACATTAATTGCTAATCCTCTATTACCCGGAAGGCTGTGTATGGAAGCCAAGTTAAAACGCAGTGACGGGCCAATATGAGGAAACGGTTTTACAGGGCGAAGCAGGTCAACCAGGCGTAACGGGTTCAACCTGGACAGCGGGTTAACTGAGTATAAGGAATTCTTGCATGGCAGGAAACATAAAACTCAGTTGCAGATTATCCCGGACGCGGTAGCAAATTAATGGGGTTCAGTTGCACATCGATAAAAAACGAACATATACATTCTAGTTGCGGTATCATGGAAACCATTTATTGCGGTGCTTCTCGTGTAGAGGCGCAGATAAAACAAGGCTCTGTATTCATGATAGCACGACGCACTCATAGTTACTGAAATTTGAATTATATTTCACCAGGGCTCTCAGTATATTGGATTTAGCAATTTTTTCATTATGTATGAATTTCAGTGCATGCATGACTTTACAAATTTATTTAAAAACTGAGATTTTGTATTTGCAACAAAACTGCTTTCCTTTCACTTAGTATAAGTTAAGAAAGTGTAATACATGAGTAAATATATCGTTCTTTCTCGTTCATCAACTTATATATGAACTAAATATTAAGACTTGAATTGAAATTTCTAATATCAAATATTATCGATATTGCACCGAACACTTGTTTCTTCAAGCAAGTGTTTCTTCTCGGAATTATACAGTTATTCCGTGTCATTTAAACGCTTTCCAGTGAGAAATAATTTATTTAGACTGAATACAAACGTAAATTTCATCTACTTCTCAATAGCGAATGGCTCAAAATGATCAAACGCTAGATATTAAAACCGGTAAATCTTCATAAAATCAAATGATAAATATCATAAAATTCCCAACCACTTATCACTCAATTCTTCGTTAAGCATCAATTGTAGTCGCGAGCGCCAATTAAGGCTTCGGCTAACGTATATACATACCATCCAACAATTCTAACTTTTGAATATTCATCACCTGATCTAGTACAAATCATCATCAAGGATTCGAACACAACCAATGGGAAATTCAATCTACGTTTACGGTATAACATTCTGCCGCCGACGCAACTTTAGCGCATGCAGTTTGAAGTATTTTTCTAGGTGAATTTTTTTAGCCGCGCTGACCAGAGGTGTGATACTTGCGGTGCCAGTCCTCGCGCGACCAAACAGCCCTCGTGTTGATTCGCTCTAAGCGCTTGCTTAGAGTTGCGCACTTCAAAGGGTCGTCGGAGGTAAAATATGCAGTATTGCACAGCTCTCAAATGACAAAGCGCACTGCATCTCGTGGTAATTACGCTCTTTAAATGAAACCCATTGCGACTTGCAAATAAACCTCTAAAGCTTACTTTGATCGTCTAGCATTGATAAACTTCGGCGTGACAATTGAATTCATTTCGTGTTAACTGCAGGGCGTATCGAGTTTATGGATTGGGGGTAGGAACTTTGTTTTAAATTATTTTCTGTTTCATTTAATAATGGTCATTAAAATGATTTACAGTGTCTTAATTAGTGATGATAAACTACGTTCGTGATATTATGGACGTAAATTATT